GCATTTTACAGTTGAGGAAGGAGGGATCATCACTCATACGAGTGATATGAACTTGAATGGGGGTCCAGATGCAGGGACCCCTGCTGCACCTCTGCCACACCCAGCTCAAGAGGTGAGAAAGGTGACTGCTCCATGGTGGAAAAGGGCTAGACCCAAACAGCACACATGCCACTCAGGCTTGGCTAAATCAGAATAGCCCTCTAAATTAGAGGCCAAATCTAGAATTGGATTTGTTAGGCTCTCAGGTGCTTTAAAATTTTCTAATTAGTTGTCAACATTTTAAATCTAGGCTCTCAGCTTTTAAGTTCCGGACCTGCTGGGTGTGGCATCACTTGCTGGAGCTGAGTGGAGGTTCACCCTGTTCTCTACAGTCCTCTGTGGCTCTCACAACTCCCTGCTCCCTGACACTTGTCCGTGCTTTGCTCCTCTCCACCACCAGCCAAACCTCGGGGGCCTTTGGGTTTGTTCTCTCTGGCTTAGATGGTCCTAAATTCACTGACTTTATTTTGCGGCAAGTTGATTTCTAAGATGTGCCGGTCTGATTTGTCTTATTTATTTTTTCCAAGATTTCCTCTGAGGTCCCCTTCCCCAACTCTGACACTCTGAATCTAGTTGGCAGAAAAGAGAAGTAAAGTTTGTCATTCACTTTAATTCTCTCTGACAGCCAGATGATCCAGCCATCAGTCTGAATCTGGGGCCAGGTGCCAGAGAGTGACTGCAGGAGTTAGTGGTGATAACAACCTCTCTCCGATCGCTTGGCCACTGGAACAGAGAGAGTTCCACCTGAGCTGGTCTATTTTAAACTCAAGGCAGTTGAATTCAGTGCAAGGCTGCATCCCTGAAGACCTCAAGTAAATCTGAGCTTGCATAATTCATGACCAATCCTGACCAAAGATGATGGACATTTTTTTTTGACAGCTGAAGTGGCCCAGCTATGTGGCAATGGCTTAAAGGGAGCTTACAACTTACCCAGCTTGCCGTAATGCGATTTTTGATCAGTTGGAGGATAAAATGGCCACAAATCTGAGTTTGAAACCTAGAAACATCATTGCTGCCTGTGAGGCGCTGAGCAAATTCTGAAAGCACTCTGACCCTGGTTTCTTCGTCCGATCCACTTCAACTTTGTAAAGAACTTGGCAGACGCCTGGCATATTGAAGATGCTAAAAATAGTAGTTCTCTGCCACTGCCTGTGGGCTGGGTGAGGATCTGATCCTGATACTCTCCATGCAATATGAGATCCTTGAGTAGTCATGACTATAGACATGGCTGAAGCTGTTACGGAAGGAGATGGAAGCCCTCTGCATCTCAGGACCCAAAAGATCCTTCAGTGTTCCCTATGTGATGCTTGTCTTGGTGTGCACTACAGACCAAAAGACGATTATAACATCTCCTATGGTCCTAGATCACAGCCCGGAGGGTCAAGAAAAGCCTCATGGTGACTTCTTCTGATGGACTGATGCCAACCAGTCCTTATGATTGGATACCTCAATCAGCTAAGACTGAGCTTCCACTGGGCAGGGTTCATGACGGCAGCAGAAGGCAGCATCAGTGAGTTGTGCCTGAGCGGCCCTGAGAAAGAAGGGCATGGCAATTCTGTGTCTGAACAGTAAGAGCTGCATGCCCAGCCATGAATGTGGTCTGCAGCTCCCAAGCAAAGGAAGCACCAGCCCAAAGCAGCAATCAGCTTCCCAGGATAGAGTCTGATACTCATGAGCATCAGGCTTCAGATGAAGTCCAAGACCACCTAGCAGCCAACTTATCCAAACACTTCTCTTGTGTGACCTTTACTGACACACACTGTCAAGATTCAGTTCACCCTGGGGGACACCTTGGATCCCTCAACAAACACACACTCATCTCTGTTCTGATCCAGAGGCAAGGGAAATCTTTTATGGTTCCCTGTCACAAATAAAATTGTGGAAGAGTAACAGAGGGTGCACAGTGAGGTGCCCTTCTGAGCCGGAGGGCACAGGCTGTCTCTGAAAACCCTCTCCATGCTCAGAGGGACTGCCCACTGTTAAGGGCAGGATACAGGAAGGCAGAATCAGAGGTGATGCCCTGCTGTGCCCCTTCTAATCCTAGATTCTCAAACCCCTTTAAGCTTCTTCTTCCTTGTCCGACACATACAAACAATGCCTGAGGCATAGGTAACTATGAGGATCAAATGAGTCCATGTATTCCAAAATTCTCTGTCAACTCAAAAACAAAACAAAACAAACTGACAGACATGAAGTGTTAAGCTATGATAATAATTATTCACTTCTCCTCAGTCAGAATCCATTCAATGGTCCCCAGTTATTTCAGTTTGGGCAGTTCTGGACCCAGAACAGGTCCTTGATAGCCCTTATCATTTGATTTAGTAATTGATTCCAGGACAGCTCTGGATCAAATTCTTTACCTTCCATCTACCTACTCATGACCCAGACAGTAGGACAGTGGTGGCAGGGACCATGCCATACCATGAGGTCAGGGTGGGGGTGCTGAGCTGGACCTCACCCTGAGTGGAAGAGCTCAGGGGTCCCTGGAAAGACATTAGACATGTCATGACTTGTGGACTTGCATGGGTCCATCTATCCCATCCGTTAATGGATCTGAGTGATATGGCTTTTATGATGCCTGCTATTTAGTTTCTCTTTCATCTCTTAGAAACGGTGTCACTCATTCAGGTTTCTAAACTGTTTTAAAAGAGAAAGAGGCCCAAGTGTTTATTTTGAAAGATCTCATCTTTTAAAAGAGTTATCTATTGGTTAAGAATAATTTGCACTCACACGTGGATCTGCCAAAGTGCTGTGATAGCACCAAATTCCTCAGAGCCCCAAAGCCCACAGATTAGGACCTATGGGCCCCCTTGTCATTTGTTTTGTAACAACCATATGCTACCGAGAAGCACCCTTCTCTTATTGACTATAAACGTTCTGACACCCAAATTCCAGAATTCCCAAAAAGAAATCATAGACTGGAACATGTGGATGGAGCTGGGACCCCCAAATCATGGAAGGTTAGGAACAGAGGGCCCACTGGACGGGGAACAAAGGCCATGAGAAATGTGCTGGTGGAAGCGCAAATGAGCGAAGATCAAAACAAATGTTTGGAATGCCGGCAACACTGGGCCCCTTGCAGAAGCCCTGGTCCCTCAGCGCCTCTGCAGCCCGGGAAGTTGCAGATGGCAAGACAAGCAGATGGGCAGGTTCGGGAATAGCAGGGTAAGGAAAGGGAGGGGCAGGAATCAAAGCAAACCGCCATAAGTGGCAGGTTTGTTCGCACATTCTTAGAGAGAGAGAGCAGACAGCCAAGCCCAGCATGACATGACAGCCTGGCAGGATTATTAGTCCCAGAAGCTGGGACACTAAAATATTTCAGCCAGTTTTCTGCCTTAAACTCTCCAAGGGAAACACTGCTGACAAAGGCTGCCCATGTTCCATGCTCAACGTGATGCAGAAATTACCATTCCTTTTCTTTGGGTGAGACAGACTGTCACAACCTTTGTCTCCATGGCACTGGGGCTGTGGTCACCAGCTGGAGACTTCCACACTTCCACGCCTATTTTCTCATGGCACACGCATGCATGCAAACACGTGACCATACACATACATACAAACATGCACACACGAACACACACATGCTCACAGCAACAACGCAGCCATCTGGACAGCTATGCTCTCCTACAACACCTTTTTTTCTCCTGAGTTCTGACAGCTTAAACCCAAGAATCATCTGCCATCAAAGATGCCTGGGATTGAAAGAGGCAGAAGGAGCCTGAGGATGGGGAGGTGAGGAGCAGACAAGGACGGAGTGGAGAAGAGGAGGTTAGGAAGGGGGAGCTGCATGGAGGGAGAGACAGAAAAGAGACGTGCTTGGCTCCAGCTATTCCACTAACAAGCTGTCCTTCTAGAATTTGTTGATTGAAAAAAATCCATAATTCCAAATAAGATCACAGTCCATTGCCCACGACCCCTATTGCCTATAGACTTTCCCTCTGCAGTCTTGCACCATCACCCCAGGGGAGAGACTGCTCATTTCTCTCTAACTCCCTTGGTATTTACTGCATGTGTACGGCACACACGCTTAGATTACACCAGGCTGCAGATTCGTATTTTGTGTCTATGCCCCGTAAATTCTTCACTTAATAAGTTTTATGGGAAGAACGGTGGTGTGCAAGTATCACTGTATTTCTCACAGTGTCTAATCCGCAGCTGGGCCCATGTCAGGCACTAACTAACCATCTCTTAAAAATGAGTGAGTAAATAAATAAATAAGTGAGTGAGTGCATGAATGGGCTGGCTAAATAGACATTAAAGGAAATGGATTGTCACACGAGGTGTAAAAAGTAATAAAGAGAAAAGGTCAGAAGAGTGAGAGATAGAGAAATAAAGAGAAGAGAAGAAAATGTGTGGTGAGCTGTGCACGCCACAGGGATGCACTGGCCATCAGGAGTGATCTACTGCCAACTACCTGAAGTCTCTATAACAGTGGAGCATTCATTTAAGCAAACTATACAGGAGAATGCACTCTTGAATTACATGGTTTAATTGAAAAATAATCTATGAAGGCAATCCTCACTTTATCACACGATTTCTGGGAAGCTTCCTTCATTGGGTTTTCTGATAAAGTGGCACTGGTTCTCAAGATCATGCAGGGTTTCCACCCATCCATCTGTCTGTCCATACCATCCATCCACCTGTCTGTCCATCTGTCTTTCCAAAGGCATTTGTTGAACCCCAGCTGGATGCAGGGTACTGGGTTCTGTGCTGCTGTGGATATACCTCTTTTATGCTGAGCATGAAAATACCCCTCAGAACCCAGCTCACTCTCAGAGGTGAAACACTATTTTCTGCCATGTTTCCTCCATGTCCACAAATGCCCATCGCCTGACACCTTCACTCCCGGGAGGAGGCCTGAGAGCAGAATGGGTGTGGCTGCAGCTTCGTTCCTTCATAGGGACGGACAGGAAGCCAGCCACAGAGACAGACAGAAGGAGCACAGGTGCCTCCAGACTCACCGGCTTGGTTCGTAGTGATGTTGACGGAGACATGCTGTGGGGGGAAGGGGCTCTTGCTGGAGACTCCATTGACGGCCTGGATGTCGAAGGTGTAGGGGGTGTGGGCCCACAGGCTGCTGATGGAGACACGGCACTCGGTCAGGCCCAGCTGCCTGGGCACAAACTCCACGTTGTCGTCACAGCGGGAGCAGCTCCGACGGTCTGCCCGGCACTTTCTACAGATGATGTTGTAGGTCACATCATCCCGCCCGCCTGTCTCCCTTGGTGGATGCCACTCCAGGATGATAGATGTCTCATTGACGATGGAGATGACATTGCGGGGACCTGATGGGACACCTGTAGGGAGACAAAAAAGGGCCCAGTGAGGCTAGGCAGAAGCTTCCTCCTCCAGCCTCTCTCTATCTGCCTTTGGTGTATCTCCTTCCCTGTCACACGCATGTATCACCTCCAGCCTGTCAATCCCAAATCTCCATGCTATAATCCATTCCAAGAACATATGGTGGACAGAGATGACAACCTGGCCTAAGCTCTCCTCTCAGTTGTCCCAGGGGGGACAGTGGCAATCATGTGTGCCAAAGGAGAGGAGGGTGCAGAGATTTGGGTTCAAGCCCTTTGGTTTTCAGGCCCAAGGCACTTCCTCTAGTCAGTGTTAGGGTATAATATGTATACGTAGTAGACACTTACTGGATTCCTGTCTTTTCTTAGTTGGTGTAGAACTCAAGGGTTGAGGGATGGGAGTGGCTCATCAAAAGCCCTAACATATCCTGGCATCCTACACAAAACCTCACACAATTTGGAGTCTGCATGATGTTTAGGTGCTGGGGGTATTTCTCTGTTGCTGCGAGATCACCTGGATAGATGAATATTCACAGTGCCCAAGCTTTAATGAAGATAAGAAGCAAAGTTGGCTGGGAGGTTCATACAGCCACCAGGTTTTACCCCATGACATGAGAAGAGCATAGAGGCTTGTTCCAGACATTCTGCTAGCTGCTTTACACCTATCTACCTGGGAAGATATAAAAATTAATTCTATTTTACAGAAGGGGAAACTAAAACTGAGAATGGAGACTGGCTGTGGATCATATGGTCTGTAAGAATTGAAGTCAGTATGGAGACCCATGTATGCCTGACCCCAAAGCTCATGCACTTAACAGTAGCCCTACGCTGCCTGTTAGGAAAAACAGCTACCTTTTCCTACGAAGGAAAAGCTGTTTCCCACTCTGGCCTTACACTGGTATGGTACTCCAAAGATTGATGATCAGATCTGTTCACGGATAACAGGAGATCTGAACAGACTCTCACTCCTACAAACCAGTAAGACTCATTGGGAGTCTTCCCAAATGCCTTGTTAAATACTAAATTCTAGAAAACCTAGTCCTTTGTAGGAAGGCAACATATCTCTGAATTAACAGCCACAATGCTGGGCATTTTGAGAATCTCCGGCCCAGAAACAGAACAGATCACAGCCCTAGGTTCCCAAGCTAAGCACTGTATCTCCTCAGTGTCTAATGATTAAAAGGAATCATACCCAGAAGCCCCCCTTCTGAACAGTGGGTCTGCTGGAGCAGCCGCTCTGGATAGTAATGCATTCAGAATTCACACACGTGACTGTCACCAGTTGAACGAAGACATGTGTAAAGTGGTTCATGCTGAAGACAGGAATCAAATGCCAACAAACAAAATGAAGGAATAACAACAAGGTCGGGGGGCACCACGGAAGGATTCTGTGTTGAATCAGTCAACGGCAAGCAGCTAGAGCAGAAAGCAAATATTAAATCGATTCTATTAAAACGTGAAAGAAAATCAGTACTGTACTATATAAAGCCCATTAGGCCTGAGCTAAAGCACAACTTTCATATAGGCTTGTGACAGGGCAGGATTCATGAAGCATTTTTACTGAAGTCTTGCAAATAGCGTTCAAGAATTCCCACCCCATCTGCCCAGGGATAAACATCCATCTCATCTCAAATCAGCACACGGCTAGGCTGAGAGGGTAGGTGGCATGGTCATTGGTGGGTTCTTACTCAGCCGCGCCAGCGTCACCTCACGCTGTACTATTCATTAATGTGCATATTGGCCAGTGCCTGTCTTGGACACGTTTGTTTGCTCAGACTGATGAGATGTGGACCACAAGCTCCCAGTGGTCAGTGCCACTGCTCCCTGTCTCAGCAGACAGCCTAGCCTCTGTCACAGGCCACCATCTCTCACACTCATCACAAATACATCCGTCCAGCGCTTGCTCTCTGCTGGGTGTGGAAGGCTTCTCTAACAATGTTATCTTACTGCATCCTTGGGATGCCGTCGCTGGAAAGCAGCCTTGGGTGGCAGAGCAGAGATAGGTACTGCCCGGGAGAGTAACCACCCATCCTTCTCACCCTGTGGAGGCCTCCCCATGTGAAGTATCTTCCTTCTCCCATGACCTTAAACTTCACCCTCTCCCCTGGCTCCATCCTCTCCACTTAAACTCCATAAATGTTTGCTATTTTATTTTTTAAAAATATTTTTATTTATTTCTAGGAGAGAGAGAGAGACAGCATGAGCAGAGGAGGGTCAGAGAGAGAGGGAGATACAGATTCTGAAACAGGCTCTAGGCTCTGAGCTGGCAGTCAGCACAGAGCCCGACACGGGGCTCGAACCCATGAACTGCGAGATCATGACCTAAGCGAAAGTCAGACGCCTAACCGACTAAGCCACCCAGGCGCCCCAAATATTTGCCATTTTAAAAGCCAAAGCACCTTCACTGGCATCTCTCTACCTTGCATGCCTTCTCTTCTTCACCCCCTGGCCAGGCTTTCTAAACTGGAGGCTCTCCACTCTCCTCGCTTGGCCAAGCGCAGCTCCGATACTCCCCACCCCTTTGTCACTGTTTTTCCTTTGGCATCCCACCTGACAAAAGCAGGGAACACCATTCAGTCCTTCCCTTCCCTGACACCCTGCATGATCACCAGCCAGACCCTGACAGTCACATTGTCTGTGTCCCCCACAAACAGGCTGTCACCACAGCAATGTCCCATCTCTTTGTCCTCAGAATGTTCCCTTCCTCAATATCTTCACCCCTTCAGAATTCCAGGCCCTGTGGACTTTCTTGCCCTAGAGCAACAGCCTTCTTGTCAATCCTCCACTTCGGTCAGAGTGTGGGTTCTGAAATGTCCATGAGGTCACCATGTTCCCCTGCTCAAACTGAAGTTGCCCAAAAGTTTACTTCCTTTCCACATCCTTCACGTCCCCATGTAGTCGTGTCATTCATGATCTCATCCCTGGCCACTTGACCCTTGCCCTTATACTGTGGCCTGTAGGAAGATTCCTGTGCTTTCCCGTGCACACTAAATTCTCTTTGTGCCCCTGGGCCTCTGCACAGTGTTCTCTTCTGTCTGCAGTTCCTTTCCTCCTATCCATTTGATGAACTCCTGCTCACCCTCCAAGATCTAGCACTCGATTCCACCAGGAGGCTTCTCTGATGCCTGCAGTTACTTACCCCATCCCCCACCTGTGGGCTTCCGTAAGCCCATTTCTAGAAGCTAACACAGATTCCATTGTTGCACTGTGATGTTCTCTTCCTCTGTGCTGTCCTCACCACGGTGTGGCCTCCTGGTGGGCGGGGGCTTGTGGCTGGCTTGTCTCCATGGGTGCCCCAGCTCCTTTGTTCAGAGGAGGCCTCTCACACTTGGTTTTGACCTCTGCTCAGGGTGTATGACTTAAGATCATCCTATCCCAGCATGAGATGCCCTGCTGCGGGGCAAAGGAGGATACAGCTGTGGTAACAGTGAAGACCTACTGTTTATGGCCCTGAGTGGTAGAGGCTTTAGTGAGATAAAAGTGGCAAGTGAGAAGCTGGTTTGGAGAGGACTTCCTCTTCCTTGATACAGTGGTGTCCCTAGCAGCTGGGAAGATCCCATTTGATGTTGACCCACATCTACTCCCCACTCAGGAAGAAAAGTGGCAGGTTTCCAAGAAGATTTTTCATGTTTATTTAGACACAGCCTTCATATAAAGCAATTACTGCACCCCTCTCTTTCATGGCTGCTTTCCAGAGCAAATCCATCTGTGGGGCATGAATGCATGCCCTCTAGGGGTCATAGTTACTGATTCTAGAACTGCTGGCATCTGAATCTTTTCCTTTCAAGGAAAGCTAGAAGAACCAAAATATGTCTTGATGTGTGTCCTTTCCTGCCATGTCCTCAAGAGTAGGAGTGTGTCTTGCTATTTCTGAGCCCAGCACAGTGCCCGGGCTCATAGTACATATCTCTAGAGACAGCCCAAGTCTGGGCCACAAACAATGATTGGGATCCTGTTCACTACTCACTCACTCCTTTAACAAATATTCCCATGCTATTCTAGGCACTCAGAGGTTAGGAAAAAGCCAGACAGACAAGCTTCTGCTCCCATGGAGCTTACATTCTGGTGAGAGAAAACAGATAGGAAAGAAGGAAACATAGAGATAAATGAGATAATTTCTGATAAAAATAAGTGCTATGAAACAAAATAGCCCCCAGGTTAAGACTGCCTCCCAACGGGGCACCTGGGTGGCTCAGTTAGTTAAGCATCCAACTCCTGATTTTGGCTCAGGTAGTGGTCTCATGGTTTATGAATTTGAGCCCCACATCAGGCTCTGCACTGACAACTTGGAGACTGCTTGGGATTCTCTCTCTCCTTCTTTCTCTGCCCCTTCCCTGCTCAAGTTCTTTCTCTCTCTCTCTCAAAAAAAATGAATAAACATTAAAGAAATTAAAAAAAAAAAAAAAAAAAAAAGCTTGTCTCCCAACAATGCAACAATGCTTAGCTCCTGCCCTTTTTCCTAGGAGGCCTTCTCTGGGCAGGGCAAGCTAGGGCCCAGTCTCTGGGTGGCTAAAATGGCAATGCTCCATCAGCCTAAGGATAAGGGCACATTCCTGCCAGTAGGCTGCTCAGCCTCACCTGTGTTTGGAGAGTCTAGCCAGAGCACATTTGGTCTCTGAATAAACCTCCCTAGAGAAAGGTGCTAGGCCACCTCTACCACTCCAAGCACCACTCCCTGGGCTTGAGGCCCTACCCCTGTGGGGAGTAACTATCCAGAACCAGAGCTCCATGCAACATCCCCAGGAAGGAGGCCAACTGAGGCAACCAAACAAAAATGTTAAAAGGCGGAGTTGAGAGGGAGGTCAGAGAGAGAAGAAAATCCATCTCCATCAGCAAAAGCCCTCAGTGCATGCAGTGGTAGAGGCTAAGAGCCACAGTCCCCTTGTCTAAGCCCCCTGCTCTTGCGTCCGTGTCCTCGTTTTTCTTAATTACATACAGACAGGCTTTTTGAAGCTTTTCTGATCTGTTGCCACGGTTACTACTGATGAAAGCTTCCTGTG